GAACCTCTGCACAGAATGTACTATGGGCCAGTGTTGATCATTAGGGGGCAAGTTGTGTTCCAGGACACAGCTTTTAAAAAGGGGTGATAGTGCACCCCAGGGAATGTATTGTGTGGCTCAGGTAGTCTCAATTCTCTCCCTTCTTTCCCCCCATTCCCCTACTCCAGGGAAGTAGTAATTTTCTGCTGGCCTCTATTTAACCCCCCCCCGCCACACATACCTGCTCACAGTAGCTGGGTGGTAGAGGAGGGAGGCAAGGCTCAGTCTATTCATTGCCCATCCCCCCTGCAGCCCATTTCCTGCCCTTAACCTGGTAGAGGGGGGAGAAGCACAAAGCACCCGCTAACACTGTGCAGCTGAACCCAAGGTCCACCTAGCCGGGGCAGTTACATGGGGGGTGAGGGGGAGTCTCATTGCCCTTTAAGCTGCATAGTCCTGAATCTATCCCTAAACTATTTGCCAGCTGAAATGTCTATCTGTCCTTGGTGTAGATGAGAATTTTTACTGGCACATCAGGTGTGAAAGAAAAACGCAGGGGAAAAGTGCTGGAGAGGCATAGTGTATGTGGCACACGTTGCCAAGTGATGCTTAGCAACCTAACATGGATAATAGCACTTTGCAATGCTGAGCATGCAGAGTGAATGACGTTTGCATGTATTACCAGGAAGAGATTAGATAACAAGACTAAAGAGCTGGAGAAACAGAAGGTAGTCCCAGAGCCAAATGCAGCCCTGAAGTCACTGGGCACAATTCCATTGCCTTCAACAGAGCTATGCTCAGAACAGGGCTGGATTTGACCTTGAGTTTTAGCATTGTAAAATGTGTCAAATCTTCAGTGTGGAAGATGAAGTGGGGCACGTGAAGTTTGGTCACCCTCAGGATTGTGATCAGAAGTTGAGGTAACAGGCATGGTTTAGTGATATCACCAGACTTTGGGACCCTTCTTTCTATTGGAAACAAATAAAAGCCACGTTTACAAAGTGTCCTCAACTGGGATTGTAATTTTGTCAGATTTTTAGCTTCACAGCAAAATGAGGGCACAGGCACAATCCATTGCAAACAAAAATGCTAGAATGTATGTATCTGCCCTGGATGGATTTATGGGGGCAAATGCTGATTTTCACCTGCAAATTCCGCATTGCGATGTCTATTCAGGAGGTGAGATTGCAGCTTGCGTAGGAACATCCAAACTAACTTTATTTGAACTAGCTCACTAAAAATAACAGTGTGGCTGCAGTAGCACAGGGCTAACCTACCCAGGCCCAGGATATGTGCTGGGATGGCTACTCCAGTTGGGATCACACCTACTGGGATGGAGCTGGGGTGGATACAAATGGATTTTAAAAAATATGTTTTTTCAAAATTTAAATTGGATTCTTTTATTTAAATAAACCTACTTTAAAATTAAATTTGAAATTGATAATTATGTTGAGACCTAAATTTATTAAAATCTATAAAAATAATGTATACTAAATACAAAAAATAGTATTAAGCAGTACATGTTGGCTGCCAAATTTCAAAGAAAATCAGACCACTGCACTGGTGGAAGTTACTGGCTATACATCTGGAAAAAGAGTTTGCTGAAGTGCGAAACCAACTTTTGATAGCAGTAGCCACTACTGCAGGTTCAGATAAAATATTTTCTTTGTTTCAGTTTAGTAATCTAATTACTTTAGAAAGCATTTTGGAGCAAGAGAAAGCAGGAAAGTTTGCTTTCTTCTTCCAGGCTCTGAATAATAAAGATCAAGTATGACCGAATGAGATCTACTGGTTCTAAAATTTGGAAGGGTATGATGACTGGAAACAATCAGTTCATTAACTACAGACAATTGCTTTGTTTAATAAGTCAGTTTTAAATTTAAAACATATTTTGATACATGTTTTTTCTCATGCATTCAGCACTTTTAAGGGAGTTTTATTTAATGAAAATAAATGCTGTTTTTGTATATTGAATTGGAATTTCCATCCCAATAGTGCTTGACACAAATCACAAATAAAAAAGATCAATAAAATGTTTAAAAATTAAGGGTCTGGATAAATGTAAGTTAAACTATATAATTGCTTAAATATATGTGTATAGATATAGTGTATCCTTCTAGTGAGCAATAAGAAGTACCAAATTTAGCATAAAGGCTATATATCTAATTACAAAGCAACATGTTTTAAAGGTTACCAACTAATGAGAATCTACCTTTCCTCAGGAAAATAACTAAAAAGTACAAATGCGAAACATGATTAAAATCAATTATTTAAATCTAGGTTTCCTGTGTGTTGATTTAAATCATGATTAAAATTGGTGATTTAAATTGCTTTGATTTAAATCAGTGCACGCTTGGGTGGTGCACTGACTTCCAGCCTTGACCTGTTTAGTGCAACTCGACCTGGTGTGGTTCAGTGGAGACTGTCTCTGGGTTTACCAGTTAAAACTGCTGTCTGGAATACCACAAAGGTCTTGCTCTGAGTCTCAGTTTTAGTAAAATGCAGGATGTACACATGGCAAGCCCAATGCACCAGATGAGGGACCTACGAAGTGATGAATGTCTGCTTAGAGCCAGGCCACCAACTGAGAGACAAAACTTCAAAGATTTTATAGATGGATCCTAAACCCAATACAAGAGAACAAATTAGAGGTATGTCTTCTTTGCTGTATATTGACAGCAGTTCACAAACCTGCAGGATTTTGATTCATCAAAACTCATCAGCTCTGCTTAGCTTTAGTTTCTTGGTACAGGAAGTCAGATTTATTTTTATACCATGAAATCCACTTACAGCAAAGGAAATGGCAGTGAGTGAGGACTAATCCTTATGCTCTAGAATTTCCACGTCCCAGAACCCAGTTGTCATTATGAAGGCTCCATAGTGTAAGGTTGTGTTGAGTTTTGCACTTACATGTACAATTTAGCTTTGTTGCTGAACTGTTGTTCATGTCAGTTTAAGGTATTTTGTAAGTCCTTGAAATATCTCCAATGTGAATGGACTTGTAATTGCAGCTTTGCAGTAACTTGTTGATGCTTTTCTCAGCCTGTGAACAGAGTGGTGAAAACATAGTATCCTTCTGTGACTCTTCGCTTTACTCTGTTGAAGTAATCGAGGGTGCAAACTCTCTTAATTCGTGTTTTAATTAGAACAAAAAAGTAAATTCCTTTGTCACATCCATCTTTTCACTGGCTTCCAAGCTGCTGTAAAGCTAACTTCAAGGTTTCCCTTCTGGTTTATAAAATTTTAAATACTCTTGTAACTTTGTACTTAATTTCCCTCTCCTCCAGTTGTACTTTCTGGATGCTGGAAGTGCTAAATACAATGACAGAGCATTTTTCAACAGTCATCATGGCCCTATAACTATCAGTATTAAAGCACAAGAGACTGTCAATCCATTAAAAAACTTAATTTGAAGCCCAATTCTTGATCCAACTTTTTCTACCAGTAATATGCTCAGTTGCATTTACTGGAGTTTAAGGCATCTGGGTTTTGTTTTGTATGCAGGTGACTGTAATACCACCTGGGCTTTTTTATTAAATAAATAGAAATGGGTCTATTACTCAGCTCTAAACAACCCCATAACTTTGAGGTAGTTTATCCATCCCTAAAAAAATGTTGCTATTGAGGTATAAATGATACATAATTCTCTCTGTGGTCATGGCATTTCTTTTTGAGAAGTGAAAAATTAATATCCAGCTTATATGGATTTATATGTCAAGTAAGGGAAAATTAGCATATTGTCAATAAAGAGAATATTAATAATAATATGGTAGAGGAGGAGGAATCTAGCAATGTTTCAATTAGGATAGCAAATATCTTGGGATTGCAGTGGTCCTGAACACCACCGGTTTCATATTTCAATCTCTCTTTTGAATGCTATTCAGGGACGGCTCCAGGCACCAGCCCACCAAGCTTGTGCTTGGGGCGGCACCTGGAGGGGGGCGGCGTGGTGCTCCGGCTCCAGCCGCCGGGGAGAGTGGGGCCACGGCCAGAGCTCGCTGCCCTCCCCCCCCGGCGCTCTGGCCGCCGGGGACAGCGGAGCCGCGGCGAGCTCGCCGCACTCCCCCTGGCGCTCTGGCCGCCGGGGACAGCGGAGCCGCGGCAGGCTCGCCGCCTTCCCTCTGGCCGCCAGGGACAGCGGAGCCCCGGGCGGGCTCGCCGCCCTCCCCCCGGCGCTCTGGCCGCCGGGGACAGCGGAGCCGCGGTGGGCTCGCCACCCTCCCCCCGGCGCTCTGGCCGCTGGGGAGAGCGGAGCCCCAGCCGGGGCTCACCGCCCTCCCCCCAGGA